TTTGAACAGATTTATTAATAGCAAGCTGGATAATATTGCAAAGATGTCAGTAGAAATTCTTTATAAAAACATTTCTATTACGTCCTTGAATATTTTTGTATCAAACTTGAGTTTGTGGTAGTAGTGTCATTAGCTGTATATTGCAAAAATATTTACCTAGTCTCATTAGAACTTTTTTGTTGTAATCTTGATCCTAAGAAAATGAAATTATTGATAGAAGCATTTGTGAGAATATTACTTTGTCCTCTCTAAGTCTTACTGGTAATAAACTTGGTTACGAGGATGCAAAATTATTTGCTAAAGCTTTTTGCAGAAAAAATACTCTGCTTCATTGAATCTTAGTAGCAATAAGCTTGGCTTTCAAGGAGACAAAGGACTAGCAAAAGCGCTTTGCAAAAACACTACATTGACTTCCTTATATCTTTATCACAATAATCTTGGTTTTGAAAGGTTTAAAGCGATAGCGGAGACCAGTATTTATTTTTCACATGCGCAAAAGTGTGCGCATGTGTGCAGATCCAATCAAATTGCTTTATTTAAAATTTTGATTGGATCCGCACACGTACGCACATTTTTGCGCACGTGAAAAATAAACACTGGCCAGAACACCAGTTTAATTTATTTGGATCTTGGTGACAATAAAATTGGTTCTGAAGGTGCAAAAGTTATGACAAGATTTTATGCAAAAACACCTCTTTAACTTCTTTAGATCTTTATAAAAATCAATTTGGCATTGAAGAAGGCAAGGCATTAGCAGAAGTTCTTGTAAAAACATTGCTCTAACTTCTTTAAATATTAGTAACAATCGGTTTTGCTCTAAAGGAATTATGTCAATAGCAAAAGCTCTTGGAAAAAACATTATACTGACCTCTTTGATTCTTGATGAAAATCAATTTTATTGAGGATGCAGAAGCGTTAGCAGAGGCTCTTTGTAGAAATAATGTTTTAACTTCATTGGATCTTTAATAATCAAATTACTTTTAGTGGAATAAAAGCATTATCGGAATCTCTTTATAAAAATACAAGTCAAAATTCCTTAGGTCTTCATGGTATTCAATTTAATTTTGAAGGGGTAAAAGTATTAGCAGATGCACTTTGCAAAAATACTACCTTAACTGATCTAGTTCTTTCAAATAATAAACTTACTTTTGAGAAAGGACAAGTATTAACAGAAGCTCGTGGTAAAAATAACAAATTAATTTATTTAAATCTTAGTATCAATGAGCTTGGTTATGAAGGGTTAGAAATATTTGCACACGCTCTTCGTAATAATACTGCTATAATCGATTTAATAATTTATGAAATCAACTTAATTATGAAGAATGCAAAGCATTGGAAGAAGTTTTTTACAGAAATAATGCTTCGATTATATTAGAGTTAGATCTAATCGTCAATTAGCAAGATTATATATTGCATTTATTTAAATATTTACTGTATAGACATTAAGTAACACCTCGTTCTACGAAAAATAATTATAAAAATAATAAAATTTCAAATAAGGCTACGAAAGTTGATTTTTCATTTTGCATAACCTACTGACCCATTTTTCAATTTTTCAAAAATTTTTTGAAATTCCAATCATTCCAATTATTCCACTTCTGCAACTTATTTTTAGGTCATTTTATTCGGCACCATCCAATGAAGACACTAGTTTCCCGAAATTATCTGATAGATCGACAGAAAATAAAGTTAATTTTTATCGTATGGTCGTATAATTTTATGGTTTTACAATTAAGAAATAATTCTATAATTAAAATAAATCACCCTAGCTAAATATATATAAAAAAAAATAACGAATCAAAAATTTATTTTTACATTCAATTTAATTCGCACTTTCCGTAACCAATGCTATCTCACTCGAGTAAAGACCCATTACCAATGCTATCGCACTCGAGAAAAGATCCGTTACCAATGCTATCTCACTCGAGAAATTATCCTTTACCAATACTATCTCACTCGAAAAAATATCCGTTACCAATGCTATCTCATTCGAGAAAAATGTTCTGATTTAATTCAACTTTTTCTGTTCCTAACGTAATAATTTCATTTGTCCCGCCAGTTGCTTGACAAAAAAATGCTACTCTTACTGTTTCTGAACCTCTAAATAATGATATTACCAATAATGGAATATTTTGTAATTATTTTACACGTCACTTGTATCTTTCGGTCCTATATCACCAACTACAGCTGGTAATCCATTTAATGTAGCAACCACATTTAACGTACCAGAATTCTTCAAAGATGACACTATCGCTATAGAAGTTTATCTTAAGAATGCACAAAGACCAAATGATTGCATTAATCCTAATGTCATAGGTTGTGTGACAGCGACAGTATCGTTGTAGGTAAAATAACTTTTTAAGAAATACAGAAATAATACTGTACCATTAATAAATTGTAGCATCATCAAAAATACTTTTGATATGCAAACTTTCAACATTCAGTAATATTTATTAAAAGAAACCTAATTACAATTTGCAGAAAAACATAATGAGGATTTTTAATGAGAGATTTTAGAATTGAAAAAAAAATACATTCGAAATGTGAGATCTTAAAAAACATAATTTGGTGTTGAAAACTGAAAACGAAATGGGATAGTTTAGAGAAAATTTCAAATTTAATGAAAAATGAAATAAAGTTAATACATCGCATATTTGAAAATGAATACGACATCTGTTTCTGTCAAAATTAGATCCCCGCACCTCATTACAAAAATTTGCAGATTTGACAATTCTGATGAAAGTTAGTGTATCAAGTCGAAATATTATTACTTAGAAATGTACCTTATCATTATTTTATATATTACTCTAATTAATTAAATATATAAATAGCAACAATATCTCATCAAAAACCAATTAATTGAGCTTCTCAAATGTGTCTTCGTCTATTTGTATCCTCATATACAGATATACATTTAGTCGTTTGTTTCTTTCGTAATTGTAAATCGCATTAAATCCTTTTGAACGCTAATAATAATTTATTGACATAATATAAATATTTACTAAAGGACGACAAAAGGCATTCCTTATTATAATCTTTAGCTGTCTGTTCTTATAGAGTGGTAGGTATAACAGTGCGTTGTAAAAGTGCGTGTTTGGAGTTACCGGGTCTAACAACCTAAAACACAACAAAGATTAAGGCCACTAGAAAGAAGGCGTGGAAGATTTGGTCCGTGAACCAAGATCATACTGCTGCTAGGACCTCCGGGTTAGATTGTCTTTATTATTATGATTCTTACTTATTATCTATATGCACTCTGTTCGTTTAGCTACATGAAATCAATGGGCATTTAGACATTACAAACAACATTGGGGCTTTGCTACTACGATTTAGATCTTACAAGCAATATGGCTATTTAAATCTATGGCTAACGATAAGAAATTCATACACATTTACATGATAATGACTTTAGTTCCCACCATGTGAATAATCAGACGCCTTACTATTGTTCTCAATAGAGCTTCGCCTCAAGCCAAACCCGAATTAGAATTATTAAATGCCTTCGCTTTTGTCAATCAATGCGATATCGGGTCCCGAGTGGATCATGTTTTCAATAACTGCGGCCAGGTCACATTACCCGCTACAACGTACAAATAATCCAACTATACACTACTAAAACTACTCTAACCAGAACACCACAACTAATACAACCGAAACCCTAATAGTGGTAAGGCAACGATCGAGGCGTGGAAAGACTTGGTCCGAGTAACTAGGGTGAATTGGGTTCTTAGCGATAGTGTCGGATTAGAGCTCTTGATTACGTCACGAATCTCTTTATTCAGAATCACGGGATTTGGTCACGAATTCCAATCGTTTTTACAGATTTTACTTATCGGGGGAATTAGTAGAACAACACTTCTTTAATGTTGAACTCCAAGCGAGTTAACACTAGAAGAGTTAATCTCAAGATAAATACTCGGATTTCTTTAACTTGGAACTTTGGACTCTCCAGAGTTATCTTTAATGAAGGTAAATATTAAGCGCTTATATACTTATTTTTACATATCGAAGAAATTTTGAAAATTTTAACAATTTCTTCTTTTTTCAAAATTTAATCGTTTATCAAAATTTTGTTAATTTACTCTTTTGCAAAATTTACTAAATTTGCTAAAATATTAAGGAATTTGGTAAATTTAGTAGGTTGCGATATCGCAGGTTAATATACATTTAAAAAAAAATTAAAATTATTATTAGTTTGGGTTAGGGTTCGAGCTAGTATTAGAAGGCATAAAATATATGCAAAATTAAGTGATGAAAACTTTTAATTAGAAGCCCAAGACTAGTTTACATAATGAAATTTCGAGATATTTAAAACTGACTTTTTTCTTAATTTTTTTCTAATTTTTCGTTCATTTTTGTTACACAAGATCCCGTGATCTAATTGGTCGATCATATTTACCTGCGATATAGCAACCTGCGATATTAATATTTAACAATATCCTCCGTTACTAAATTTGCTAAATTTTCAAAATTTCGAAAATCGACCTTGTACAACACCGGTTTTATGCTCAATTTTTCTTTTTTTAGTTAGTACCGTTATTCTATTGTTATTTTATTCCTTATTTTGGTACGGTTGGGAGATCCAATCAAGTGATTAAAGCTCCAATCGAGTGATTAAAGCTCCAATCGAGTAATTAAAGCTTCAGTCGAGTGATTAAAGCTCCAATCGAGTGATTAAAGCTCCAGTCGAGTGATTAAAGCTCCCATACGAATTAAAGATATATAAGGCTGTAATTTCAGCCCGTGAAGGGGGAAGTAGTTAGAACGATGGTTAATAGTATTTAGTATTATTGTAATAAACCGATGTATTGATTTATGTTAATAAAAAGAAACCCTATAACCTGTATTATGTGTGCTAGTTTATCGATTTAAACCTTTTAACCTTAATCACTATTTGTTTACGATCGAAGCTAAATTGGTTCAAGAACCTATAAGCTCTCCCACTCGACCGTAACACCGGCGCTCATCTTTACCAAGTGGGGTAAATTCGACGCTCACGAATGCCTTATGGAAGTGTAAAGAGTTAGTTATTAAATTTACATGTTTGAACTTATTTTATACATGCTTTATTTAATATATCCATTAGGAACCGCAGTATTAGGTGGAGCTGACAGAGGCGAAGTGTATCTCGTTGGAGGTACATTACAAAACCTTACACTCCTTTATCAAATTGATCATAATGAAACAATATCGAATGAATCATTAATGCTAAATGAATTAATTAATACTTGGAATGTAACTGATAAAGAAAATAGAGAATTAAATATTTTGATTTACCGCCCATCTGCACAATCTTGGTTAATTCCTAGAACTAGAGGAGGACCATCAATTAGACGTAGATCAACATCAACAGTAATAAGTCAGAATGAAAAGATATATATATTTGGAGGAAGAGCCGAAATAGATACTGGCTCACCTGACTTTATTTTATTTAATGACGTATATATTTATGATACCGTTACGTTAGGGTGGAATAAAATTAGTGCAAGTAATGCTCCTTCTGCTCAAAGTCATAGTACTGCGACGTTACTTCCAAATGGTAAAATTCTCTATATTGGAGGTGTTTATCAAGATCGACCTAGAGAAGATGCAAAGCCAAT